GTTCCTGCCACATATATATATATATGGAGAGAGAGAGAGAGAGAGAGAGCGAGCGAACCCCCATGATATAAGCACAGGTAGGAAAAACCTTGTTGGAACCCTAAACCCAACCGTATGTACAGACCTTAGACAGAGGAATTTGCATGTATGCAGACATGCATGCATGCATGCAGACATACATGCATAATCATAGAAGTGTACATTTATTATATGTATGTATGCAGATATGTGTATATATATATATGGTTATATATATTACATAAGTATATATATATACATATGTCTGTACACATTATTTATGTGTTCACTTGTATGCATTTTCATACTACCATGCGGTCATACGTATAGACATATATACCTGTTAACGCGCACACACACACACATATATATATATATATGCTATTATATATATATATATCAGATATGTGAGGTCCCTTTTCTTTCTGAAAGGATTGACCTGCTCAGGTACGAAGGTGCTTTGGCCCGGCTGGCCAACTTAAAATCTTCCGGCGAAGGTCCGAGGGCTGAGGGCTCCGGGTCTTGTACTGGAGCTGCAAGCATTAAGATCAATCTGAAGCGTGGTTGAATATACAGAGCTGGAGGAGTTGAGGCAGAGTACTACGCCAGTGCAGAGCTCCGCGGCTGCATGTTTTGGGTGTAGGCTGTTGTTGCTTTCTGTAACATGTTAAGTTCAGGGTTTAGGCTTGTCTTTAGGGCTGAGGATTTTCAGGTTCAGGGCAGGGGGACTGGAGTCGCGTATCATGTCTCTTGCGATGAATGCCACGGATTCCTAATCCTCTTCTTTCTATGCTGCGGCCCGCGTCAGGAATGGTGTTTGTGCTCTCCTTCGGCATGACTCCACTCTGGCGCTGGATGTAGCATGCGTGCGGATGGTTGGCATTGAGCATCAAAAGGATTTGGGTTTGGCACAAACGTCTTCGATGACGGCCTTAGTTTTGACTTAAGACTTAGAGTTTCCAGAGAAGCTCTTGCCGAGAGCAGTTGTCCATTTAGCTAGTCGAAGCCACTCCTTGTGAAACTCTGAGTCCCAGGATAGTGGAGAGGGCCTGCGATGGAAAGCAAGGCGTAAATTTCAGCCAAGGCTGGAACCCGGTCGTGGATCCTGGTTAGATTGCTTTCGTGCTATTGGAGCCTACTGTAGCTGCCTTCAGATTCTAGCTTCTTCAATCAGGGGTCTCCACGGCTGCTCGCATGGCTTTGCATAGCATTATTACAAATCACAGTTCAATGTGCAATGCGCTGAGATATTGCAGCATGCATGTGTGCACGGTAACACAGGCCGACCATATCCTCTGCAAGAGATTCAGCAGATGAAGCGTTCTGGATCATCGAATGCAGAGACTCGGATCTCGAAAATGGATCGTCTGCTCCATGCACCCTGTACCTTGAGTTGTGAACATTGGAATGATTGGAAACGGTGTGCATTGGCGACAAGGGAAGTGGTAGGGAGTTGGTGCGTTTCGTCCAGAAGCGTGAAGCCGCAGGTTTGCTCAGAGAGTCGGATCCCTGCCAGCTGTGCTTTCGCGGCGCTTGCGCCCATGTTTGCAACGAGGACATCGGGGACTTCTGCAAGCGCTGGTACGAGAAGAAGGCCTTGCCAATCTCCCGGACAGATCAGGTTCGCACTGCCGCAGCTTTGGCTCTCTCACTTCTGGAGGCTGAGCCTGAAAGAGAAACAATGGCACCCTAGGGTCTAGGGCTGCATGCATCATCCGGCCGTGCAGAGGCTTGGTCCTGTAGCTCAGTAGCTCGTGACCCGATCGGGGTCCTCCTGGCCAAAGTTGCCTGGTCTGTGGCAGGTTCAAAATGAGCACGTCCTTGCCAAGCTGTCCGAACTTTTTTGGGCTGTCGCATGCAGGTTTGCCAGTCAATGCAAAATCTTCCAAGGTTGTTCCGAAGGAAGCGACCACGGATGGCGCAGCTAAGGCCATTGTGTGGTGCTAGCTAGAAGCTTCTGCAGTTCGTCGTTTTGGTCTCCTCCTGCGAACTTGGCGTAGTCGTATCGTCTAGCGCATCATGTATAAACTGATAACCCTGGAAAGATGACACCCAAATGCCATCGAATTGAAAGAGTTATGTGTATTGAATGGAGACTTTCACAAAAAGCCGGCTAATTGATCGCACTCTCGCCAAAGTTTCGCACGTGACGCAGACTCCCGGCAGGGCGTGTTCAGCAAGAGTTCGGTGCTTTCGCACTGCTCCGTACGTAGGGGTTTTGGATCGAGTTTTCCAAAGTTGGAAAGCTTTCTCTGGCACTTGGGTTATTCTTTGGACATTTTCAACGGGAAGCTTGCCAAGTTTGGGAATGTGTCGGGATCCCCAAGTCCGCACAATTTCGCTTCGAGCATGTTCCAGCAGTTGTTCTCACTCGCACTCTCGCCGCAATGCTGTCCTTATCTAATGTGGTTCCTGCTTGCAGAATGCACCTGGACTGAGATTGGAGTGGTCTCGGGTGTGGGGTGCTGCTGACTTCTTCAAGTGGCCTTCCGGTGCAGCGCCGTATGGTATTTCGTAGTTGGAGTCTACGCCTGTGCAGCAAATATCAAGGCTCTCGCGGTTCGGTTCGGGTTCGACAAGGTTCCAACCGGTTCAGCGGTTCGGGCAGTTCGGTTTCGCAAGCGGTTCGGTTCGCGGTTCATCGTGGTTCCTGTCAAGCCTCCGCTAATCAGCCGCTTTCTTTCTTGTATGCAATAGTGTAGAGCCTGTAGAACAGTCTTGTGTAGCATTGTTGAGAGCACAATCTAAGTCTGTCATCCTTTTGAGTCCTAAGTTGGCACCCCCAACCGAAGGTTTGTTGCAGTTCCGACGCGGTTCGTGCTATGCTTCGGTTCGGTTCGAGGTTCGCGCAATTCGGCTCGCGGTTTGTTGCGGTTCAGTTGGTGGCGGTTCGCTTCGGTTCCACGGGTTTCCTGAGATATTCTTTGTAGGTGCAACACATTGTTAAATGTCTTCGTAGAGTACGTGCGTACGCATGCATGTATGTATGTATGGTATGTACGTACGTACGTATGTATGTATGTATGTATGTATGTATGTATGTATGTGTAATTATGTGTGTATGTATGGATGTATGTATGTATGTATGTATGTATGTATGTATGTATGTATGTATGTATGTATATACGCATACGCATACATAAGCAGTCATAGCTTGTGCACGCAGACATCTTCCCGAATTAATGGATACCGGGCCGAATGCAAGTAGCTGTATGTTTGTGCAAAGACCAGTAGTATGCACATGCAACTTGTACTGCGCATTACTCAGTTTTGAGTGTACGTAAGTGTGTGTACATGTGCATGTACATACTTACATGCATACATACATAAATAGATACATACATTCAACATGCAAGATATCTGCATGCCGATACGTGGTAAAGGATCCTTAATAAACCAGATCTTGCAATATAGTGCAAGACCACCGCGCGCATGATGGCATGCAGGTCACCTGTGAGGCGTCGAATGCCGAGAAGGACCTGCAGCCAAAGGTCGCCGTGGTCCAGGACTTCCACTCTTCCGCATGCCAGACATCCCATGAAGCCCAAGCTCGGGTCGACAAAGAGCTTTTGGGTTTGGGGTTGAGGATGCGGCTACATCGTGCTATGTCAGTCGTACCATGAGTAGCAGGCAGCCAACGCCAAGACCACCTACACTTCAAGGATTTAGGGCCTAAAAATTGGAGTCAGCTGCCTCTAAGCATGGCCACGGGGGCCGTTGCCTTGGACGGGCCTCGGCAGGATCGAAGCCATCTGCCATGAAATCGAAAGAAGCACGAGTCCGAAAGGATGGCACGAATTCGGTTCCTGCCTTCCCGAGGAATTCCGGGCATTGCTTCCCTACCTTTGCTGGCTCTTCCGGCCAAGTTGTGTTTACCATGATTCTGCGCTCTTCCTGGTAGCCCTGACTCAGACAGATATTCGAGTTTCAGAGGTTAGGGCGAACTTTGGCTTTGGGACTTGAGCTTTGTTTGAAGGTACAGTTCCTTTTGATAAGACTCCAAAGTTCTTTGGACCCGTGGAGACCTGCAGGAGCCGCCTGCCACGGAGCCGAGGCATTTGGAAGACCTCCTTAGCTTCGTGGCCTTCAACAAGGACCAAATTGTGCGGGATCGGACTCAGATCTAGATGGGAAGGAGCAACCAACCGATTTTCGAGGGCTTTTCATCCGGGAGCTCCAGGGTTGCGCGTAAGAACTTGTAAGACTCAGGATGATGCATGTATTAGTATAGGGGTCATTTGCACCATTAGAAGGTGCGCCATCTTGGAACCGAATCCCGGGATGTTTCATCCATGCAAGGAGCGTTCGCAGCGCGTCTTTCTTCCCAGCTGGACACCGAGAGAAGTGATTTGTGCTTCTGATGAGCTCACTGTACGGTGGTCGTGAGACTCAGAGTTCATGGCTGGATGTGCAAGCACTTGCCGCATGTGCATGATTTTCACCGGTTTTGCTGTTGCGGCTGAGGCGAGAGTCTGCCGCCGCCTCCGCCCTCGCGGCATTCGACCGAACGACGCAAGGTGCAGATGCCAAATCAACAGAAACGGAGACTACGTCGCGTTTCTCGGGCGTCGCTGCAATGGACAAGAATTGATGGGAGGGAGGGAGGGAGGGGG